TTTTGTACTTCAACTAACTTACTTGCAAATATTTATATTTTGTCAAAAAAAATTTAACATTTTGTACAGTGCAGACCCGAAATGAATATCCCGGATGGGGCTTCTTCAATTGTCTCATTGTCCTTCGCTTTTAATTTCTATAAAATTCGCTGTCAGTGGCTCGTGCTGGACATTGTCCCATGCTAAATGGCGCAAGGAGATGAATGGATGGCTGGATGGAGCCCGGTATTAGTCCTCATTTGAGTGCCCTGCCGGGTGCTGGGCGCGGGCTGGGTGCCTGCTGCTGCTGCTCCAAAAAGTACATGAAGAAGCCACTTGATTTACATTTATGGCGTGTGCGGGCAAGCGTTAACTTGAGGAAATGCGAAAAGGCAAAGGAAAATAAAGTCAGCGGGCGATGACTAATAGAAAATAGGGAAAAAGCAATGGGAAAATGCCAATGCGAAATGCAGTCAATTGAACTGAAGGCAAAGTAATACTTCCAGTGCCACGCAAATTGGCTATGCAAACTGTACAAAATGGCTGCTGCTTCAGAAGGCAGCGACAAACGAGCACCCGAGCAGCAGTGTATTGGACCGACCACTTCAAGTACTGACAACATTGTCAGAAGGGAACAAAACGAGGGCCAAAAAGGCGTCGTCGCCTGTAGTTGCACTTTAGATTTATTGATTGTCTCAGTGCGTTCTTGTCCTTGGCGTGTCCGAATGGGTCCTGTAGTCCCCTGGTCGTTCGCAGTCCCCGCATTCCCCGCAGCCCCTGGCAGTTCTTCCGTCTCTTGCTGCTGCAGTCCCTGCAGTCCAACATCAAGTCTTGGCTTATTGCTGTTGAAAAAACTTGCTGGAGCAGCAACAAACATCCAAACCAGGACACCCAACAATGCTGATGATGACAGCAGCGTAGCTCTAGCTCCTCCTCCTCCACCGGCTCTTCGCCGTTCAGGGAAAAAAAAGAACGCATTTCTTATATGTATTTATTTGTTTGTATTTGTATTTGTACATATGTATGTGTGTGTACTCTCTATTTGTACGTTTCCGTGTTTGGCTGGACTTTTTGCTCAGCGCCATTTTTATTCCAACATTTTTTCCAACATTTTTTTTTTCTGCGTGCAAACTTTCTGCAATGCGCCGCCATATTCGGATTGAAACTCTTTTGTGTTTACAGCGGAATTTCTGCACTACTACATTTTACTTCATTTCGTATTATTTGCGATGCCTGGCAGCTATTGGTGGCCATAAACTCTGCTGAGTCTAGCGGCCAGTTGATTTACCTTTACGTTTTCTCATCTTAAGGCGTCACTCACACGCAACGTGGAACTTGAGCAGCCGAGCAGCCGAGTGGACTTAAATATTTTTAATTACGCTCATTTCTGCTTGCTTTTCCATGTTTACATTTCAATAAATTTCTACTCGCTGGGCTTTGCTCGAGGCCCATCAGCCCTTTCATCATCTCTCTGGTACACTCCCTTTTTCCCTCTCATTTTGCTCTGTTTTTTTTCCTGCTTTTCTCTATCATCCTTCTTGGGCACTTGTCATCATCAACACTTGCTGCTGTTCCTGTTGCCACTCCGCCCCCCTCCTAACGAATTTGGTGGCGCATAATGAGTTTTTGTTTCCGTCAGCTTAAGTTCCCCGATGCAGGACCTGGGACCCAGGAGCGCCAGCGCCAGCAACAACAATTACCATTGCCATTTAATTAAAAATTGCAGAATAATTATTTTTCTTTTTCGCATCGTTCTTTCTTTCGCTTCTACTCTCCGTTTTGTTCGCTTTCCTTCGGTGTAAGCTTGCAGAAACTTTTCAATAAACAAAAGCGCCCTCTGCAATTTTAAAATCTGCAAATTAGCACAAATGCTGCTTGTGGATAGTCGGATGAGGGGATGGATTGAGGGCTGACTCAAAGAATGGCTACAGCATAACGGAAAAAAAACTATACATTTATTTTCCACCGACAAGCAATTCATTTAGTAAAGTAAATCCGTCCCATTTGAAAGCATTCTTTGCTACGCAAAACCAAGCACATTTTTGGGACATTTTCACAAATTTCGCTGAATGCAAGTTACGGGGGGCGTAAATGAAAATGTCGCAATTTATTAAAACTCAAATAGTGCTGGTAAAATTAAAAATGTACAAGTTTTTTGAGTATTTTTTTGCAGGCATTTTGGGCTAACTAAATTAATTCGATGTAGCCATGTGCCAGAAAATGTACTGGCTACCAGCCATTAGAAAGCGTCGCGACGCGTCGGTAGAAAACGTATCGTATGAAAGCAGCTTCAGGGGTGGAAAAAACTGCTGCAGAGGTTTGTGCCAGATGAAAATGAGTTAACCAGAAAAGCGGGAAACGAAAAACGGAAAACAGGCTACTGGATACGGCAGGGTAAATGCAGCAGCAGCCAAATGAAGCTTTCAATTACATTAAATCCGCTGCGAAAAAGTTAGCGTCACGCACACAGTTGACAATTTATTTGTTCGTCCAGTAGTTTCCGGCCCTAATGGCACGCCCCAACCAGGTGTGTAGCCCCAGGGCCAGTGACAGCCAGTTTAGTCAGTTTTGTTTCTTCTTTTTCCCTTGTACAAATGTCAGTTTAAGAGCTTTGTTCAAATGCGTTAATAAAATATACGAGTATATCCTACTCGGCCTCCTTCTCCTCTCCCTCCGCCTCCGCCCCACTTGGCCCGACATCATTATCAGTGTGGAAAAGTTGGCACGTTGTTGCTACAGGTGTTTCCCGAGCTACGTGTGTGCATAACTTTTGGGCCTACACACAGAAAGTTTTTTGGCCAACTTCTGGCTTTAGCTTGAACTTTGGCTTTAATGCAGCGGAGTCTCAGCTCTGGTTGGAAGCGATTTCAGTTCGTTTTGCTGACAAATGCTGTCAATATATCAACAGTAAACCGTAAATGATGAGACGAATTATTATGATGCTGCTGTTGCTGCTGCTGCTGCTGCACCCGTAACCGTAGCAACCATTGCAGCTGCAACCGAGTTTGCCTGTGTGGTAGGCAATAAGTTGAAAGCCGAGACGGCCAGCCAACGTCAGCATTCAAGAATTCTGCTTAAGTAGCTGTTGGTGGCTTTTCCAAACTCGTCTCAACCTGCCACTTGATGCATATTTTTCGGCAACATTATACTCGACGCTTAATACTTTATGCTTATTTTGTTGCCGCAACAGAGTCCCGGAGGAGCAGCATCAGCAGCAGCAGCAGCAGAAGGAAATTTATTTTCTGCTTTGGCAGCAGGATAAAGTTGTCTCGTATACCCCGTGGACCCCGCCCCCACCCCCACTCCGTCTCCCTGTTGCAACTTCGTCTGCGGCTTATGATAAACTGGGCTGCACTTAAGCTGCCTCTGCCACATGCGAGACTATGTGCAACTATGTGGCTCTTATTTACTGTTAGCTCTGCTGAAATTCAATTTGTGTGTGTGTGTGTGTGTGTGTGTGTGTGGGGAGTACGAGTATCAGTACGAGTATGAGGGTTGTAAGCAGCTTAAAACTTAAATAAATTTCGTTTGTCACCAGGACGGACTCCTTTTTCCAAAATTTTTATAAATTGCCTGTCGATTTCTTTCTTGCCCGGCTGCCTGCAACCAAGAGCCCTAGCTCAAGTTGTGGCCAGCTGATGCTTGGCACAGGCACCGGCACCGGCACAGAGTAGAGAGCACAGGGCACTCCATAACCTTATACCCTCCATACCACTCAACTCCACTCCACTGCCAAGCCCATCTGCTGAGGTGGCTTAAACAAAGGAGGAGGGTCCTTCGCCGAGAGTTATGCGTGGCTTGAGGGAAGGGGATTGAGGGGCGTCTGAACTATGTATAGCAGCAGCAGCAGCAGCAGCAGCAGCCAGAACACCAGCAACAAACGCGGGACAAAGGCTTTTCATTATGCACGCCACTCGCCGGCGAACAACACGAACAACAACTGCAACAACGAGACTCTCAAAAGGCCATGCCCTGCTGCTGCCCCTACTCCTACTCCCGCTACCGATCCGCCTCTTGGCTGCCATTCGCATCAAGTGCACTTTCTGTACCCTTGCAGAGGGCGCTATGATTTTTAGCAGATTTTTGCAATGCAAAAAATAAAATACTTCCGGCAAGCGAAAATTTATTTTCTACGAGCTACGAGCATTCCGATTTGCAGTGCCTCAGTTTCAAATAAATCTAACTGAAAGTTTTCATAGACTTTTAAGCAGCATACGAGACGAATCATTTAATCCAAATTGGCTTAGAGCGATAAATCCACGAGGGTATATTAATCTTCGGTACCCGAATTCTGGCATTCCTGCTTGTTATTCTATGCCTTTCATCCAAACACTTAATTTGCATAATTTTTGTAAAGAGGGTAACAGCCAGCAGCAGCAGCAGCAGCAGCAGCAGCGGCCACCATAAAGCGATTTAATTCCGCCAGCTTTAAATAAACGAAATGCAAGTGCCACAAAATGTGGTACGTAATTCGGCCCTAATAATTCCTGCTGCAAGTTTTGGGCGTTGGCAGGTGGTGGCAGGTGGAAGCCCTTTTGCGGTGGTTGCTTGGCAATCCAATACTCTTACTCTTACTTCATTTAACCTTATGAAATTTCATGCACTTTTGCATTTTTCACTTAGATGCTCAGTGAAGGGGGGAAAGGGGAAGACAGCGGCAGACAAAGGCATTTTTCCATGCCAAGCAAAATGCATTTTCCAGTAAATCAGCCTAATGCACTCAACGACTCGCCACTATCGGGCCCCAAAAAAAAAAAATTGCCCAAAGCATATTCAGCTTCTGAATAGGTAAGAGGATAAAAAGTCACAAAGGGAGGCGGGCGGAGGTTGTGCATCAAATTTAATCTGGCAACCGATAGTTGAGGTAACTTTGTAAAGGCACCAGTTATGTGGGCCATAAGCTGGAGCAGAGAGGGAATTGCCAGCGAAGACTGACAAAATTACACCTGAATTAGATTAAATCTGCACAATTCTTGGACTACTTAATAATCCCCCTTAAACATTATCCATATCTATTCCAGCTGAGCGAGGACATCGGCTATGTGCTGTACTCGGCCCTGGGCTCCTTCTATATCCCCAGCTGCATTATGGTCTTTGTGTATATACGAATTTACTTTGCCGCCAAGGCGCGGGCGCGGCGAGGCATCAAAAAGCATCCGCGCAAAACAAACAACGAACAGGTGAGTGTCTAACCCTATTGTAAGTATAAATATAATCTGAATTCGGTGCACACTGACCCTCAGTCCTCATTCCTGGTCTACGGTTTTGGCTTCTTAATGAACTTTGATGGAAGCACATTCGAGTGAGTGGCAGAATGTCCTTGCGGGGAATGCAAATTTTTACATTTCACTGAGCAAATGTAATTTCCATTCCTATCCCTTCGTTGGGTCAACTCGATTTGGCATATGTGGCGTATGCGCAATATTTGCTCACCTTTCACCTGCTTAAAGTAATTGTGCATTACCAGGCAGCTCCAAATTGAGTGCGCACACACACACACACACACATGCTTTGCCTCAATTTCCCATCAACAACTTGGGGGATTCGTGGGTGGGATTTGGCTGAGCTGGGCTGGGCTTGGCTTGGGTCGCGCCAACGTTGCAATTTTGGGCGCTGCAGCTGTTGGCCACGTCTGCAGCAAACAGGGCCATTTCAGTGAATGGCTTTTGCTGACTCTGCTGGGTGGCCCCCCGCCGCCCCTCCGTAAACCTATTTTGGCGCGGCTTTTGTTGAAAATTATCGAAACGCCACCTAATCCACTGATTGAGTGAAAAGTCTCTAATGATCGACGTGGACTGCGTCAATTACCTGCAGTGGCAGCGGTGCGAGCGCACTGCCAGTTCAGTCCTCCAATTCATACACAATTTGCATTTTCAATTAACTGAACGAACGGAACGGACACCCCACACACACACACACACAGACACACACAGACACAACACACAAAATGGAAAGCGCGAAAAACAGGAGGTGGCCAGGACGGGCAATAACAACGACACTTGCCAGCCATTTCATGCAAACAAACAAAATAAAGAAGCAGCGGCCCAAACGAGCGATTAACGGTACATGGAAAGACAGAGAGAGAGAGAGAGGGGGGGGTAAACAGGGAGAGGCAGAGGCAGAAGCACACAGTCACTCACATATTGATGCAGACATTACGCTTTATTCGGTGCATTGTTATTCCCGGTACTCATGGAGGGTACTCATTTGAGGGTATACTGTACTCGTAAGCGCAATATCAGCTCGCCAGCTCTTTGACTTTGAGTAGAATAACAGAAGGGCTTTTTTCTTTTCTATTTTTTCCTATTAAAAATTGGGCCGCAATAAAAACAAAAAATGGGCTGCTTTGGGGGGTATCTGTTAGTCGACTCTAGCATTTTTACCCCTTTTATTTTGGTGCTCGTTTTTGGACGCCAACAGTCTCTGTCTCTGTTAATTGCCCTTCGTAATTGTTGCTGCTTTTCGCGCATTGCATATGCACAGCCAACCCGCCCCGCCCCTTCCATTACAGCACACACACACCCCTGACACACACCACCCCTCTAGCGACAGCTCTCACCCGTGTTTGTGTAATCCGCGCACTCTGACGCGTCTCTTCTGACAGTCCCACCAGTTGGCTTAAACGGGATTTTCGAAATGGAAAACTGTTGTAGCAAATGTTTGGCCATCTGTATCTGTCCCCCCGTCTTCCTCTGCATGCAGATGCTGAAACCTAATTTGCAATGCCTTAACAGGGGGTCCGTCCAGAGGGTAGCGCCCTGAAATATGATATGTGTGTTGCGTATGTGTGTCTCTGCGAGATTGCCTAATTAGTGTTTGCCTCTCCACAGGTAACGAGCTTCACCACCGCCAACAAGAAAGGAACAATACCGATGCCATCCTCCAGCGGCGCCTCCGCGCTGCAGCTGCACCAGCAGCGACAGATAGCCACCATAGAGACACCACCGAACAGTGCCACGCTGCCGATGCAAATACCAACGGTAACCATGGACCTGGCCTCGGACATATCCACCTCCGAGGCGGGCGAGCTGGAGGCTGTTGCCGCCCAAACGGTGCTTGCCTACGCCAATGCCAATGCCAGTGCCAATCCCAATGGTGGCGCGAATGCGGTCACCGTGTCGACGGGCCTGTGCTCGCCCAGCTCGCCGAAGGAAACGCTGCAGGTCAGCACCATAGCCACGGGCCGCGTTGGCCTCAATGTGCCCGTGCCGCCGTCCATGGGCAGCAACAACTCCATCAACGCCCTCAACAACAACAATGGCAGTGTGGAGGCTGCCAACAGCGTCGCCGGCGGCGGCGTGGGCGGGCCCAGTGGTGCGGCATTGGGGACCACCGTGACATCCACCAACGAGCTGAGAGTGTCGCCGATCGGCGGACGGTGTCGGGCGCTATCCGTGGGCGTTGACACGGACATGGTGAGTGAATTCGATCCTTCCAGCTCGGACTCGGGCGTGGTCAGTCGCTGTGCCGTGGTCAAGCCGCTCAAGTTTCGCCTTTGCCAGCCGATCTTTGGACGCAAATCGAACCAGCAGCGGCGCAACGAGTCCAAGACATCCGCCGCGGCTGCAGCCAAGAGTCCGACCCCAGCCGCGACGGTGGCCAAAAACCACCAGCAGCAGCAGCAACAGCAGCAGCAGCAGCAGCATGTGGTCAAGGCCGAACTTGAGCCAGCAATTCCAAAGCCGAAGCCGCGTGATCCCGAAAAGGAGAAGCGACGCATCGCCCGCAAGAAGGAGAAGCGGGCCACACTCATTCTGGGCCTGATTATGGGCAGCTTCATCGCCTGCTGGCTGCCATTCTTCTTCCTGTACATCCTGGTGCCGGCCTGTAGCACCCACTGCAACATACCGGAGTCGGCGTTCGCCATCGCATTCTGGCTGGGCTACATGAACTCGGCCCTCAATCCGGCCATCTACACCATCTTCAACAAGGACTTCCGGCGCGCCTTCAGGCGCATCCTGTTCAAGTGATGTTTGGCCTACGTGTGCTGTTACAGGTGCGTTTATGCGAGCATCGAGAAGGCTACCGAACGTGCCATGGGCAGCACACCCATGGGCTATGGACATGGCTCGTATCAGCATTACAGGCGTTAGATTTGCTTCGATTTGGTTATCCCAATATCCCAATTCTAGTTCCCCATCCCCCCCAGAATCCCATTACCCCATTTTCCCCCGATGCGTGGCTATGTTTTTCTTTCAGTTTTCAGTTTTAAACAAACAAAAAAAGTAACGAACATTGTAGCTCATTTAAAAAGCAATGAACGGCTGTGAATTTGATGGAATCTCTCAATTTCAATTTACGCATTTTGGTTTCGTTTCATTTCTCGTTTCTCGAGTACCCTTGAACCCAGCTCCCCAGCTCCCCAGCTCCCAGTCCCCAGCAGCCCCCAGTCCTTGCCCCCACAAGCGAAGCACGCAACCCGAACTCGAACCCGAACCCCAGACCCAAACACTTTTCACACTCGAAGAGCTCATAGAAATGCATGAGCTGGGCAAACAAGAATTTCAGCTAAGCAAACATCTATTATGCGCCCCTCAATGGATGTCGACTGCGGCGTCTATGGCCATTCAACTTGAAATAATTTCGCAAATTTTCCATTTGCGGCTGCATTGGGAATGGCACAGGTCCCAGCCGTTCGGTTTGCAGGTTTGATCCCCCCTTTTAGGTCCCTGATGGACTGCTGTGCAATGTGCAAACGTGCCAACGGGCAGGTAACCCAAATCCAATGGCCTGCAGACCACCATTGTGTTGGGTGCCAAACTGAGCCAAACTGAGCTTAGGTCAAACGGGGGGTGATGGTTATACTTATGAAGTCATCTGATGATGATGATGATGATGGTTGCCACAAATTAATTTGATTTCTATTTAATATTTTGGCAAATGCCTCTGGCTCCTCGCGCCCACTTTCTCTCTCTCTCTCTCTCACACTAACAAACTCTCCGCATCATGTCGAAATGCAATTTTAATGCCGCATTTTGGCTGGCGGCCAGATCAATAATTCCATGTGCACATAAATGTAAAGTACGAGTACGCCTGCGAGTATAATCCTGCGCAGCTAACACACAATTTGATGTAACAAAGTGAGATGCACACAGACACACACACGCACACATATACGGCATTGGTGCGGTGATAGATTCCACAAGGCAGCTGCAGTTGTATTCATTCACTCAAAGATATTTCAGCTGGAGAAAAATAAACGAAATATATGGAACCCCAATGCCTAATGGGCACACAGCACACACAAATGCAAATTCAAATGCAGCTCCCACTACTCACCATTTTCCCCTCCATTTCCCACTTTAGCTCTTGGCCAAGGCATCAGAAAATGCATGTGCCCGTCGGAGTGGAATAGACAGCCCGTCAGCCAGTCGGACGAGAGGAGGAGAGAGAGGAGAGACCCATCGTCAAACAAAACGCTACAATGACACAGAGACAGAACGAGGGATAGCGGCACTCAGTCAGTCAGTCAGTCAGTCAGTCAGTCAGACAGACACTGTTTTTGGCATGTGGCCCAAAACGGCTCTCCATTTCGTTTGGCTTGTTTTCACAGCCAAAGCCAAAGCCAAAAAATGGAACGGCATATATACAGAACGAGCGCAAAGATCCTCTTCCTCCTCCAAAAGACAGACAGACAGTCCCCATGCATAAATTATACGTACAATTTATTTTACTTTCTCTGTGATGTCTTTATCTCTGTCATATTTCTCGGACACTTTGTGGCAAGATGCAACTAAATCTTAGTGCCACTTTTAAACTGAAATCCCGCCACCTGGAATCGTCCAGGCAATCGTCCATCTTCCATGGACAATCTGTAATCATCGTATTCGGTGGCCATCAAATTTATGGCAGCTTCTAGCATCTCTCCTCTCTCTTCACTGTTTATTGGCCCTTTCAACACATGCCAGATAGATCAAATTTATAGCCTCGGCCATAGGCTAAGTGCTTGCGGTTGCTTTAGACCTTTTAAAATTGTTTAAGAGGGCATAAATAATAGCTACGACCGAAATCTGTCAGCCAGCTGGATAACAAGAATGTAGAACGTAGAACGTAGAACATAGAACGTGCATGTGTGCGTGCATGTGTTCCATTTGAATAAATGGAAATCGAAGCAAGAAATTTGATGGTGTTGAGAGACAAACAAGTTGAAAGCTCTGTGCTGGTTATGTCTGGTGATGTCTGGCGATGGCTGGCGATGGGTGCATGCTTTTTTATGGATCACGCTCTTCCTGTCGCACTCTCCCTCTCTAGTTTTTGGCATTGTCAGCAATGTGTGTACAACAACTGCACTCAAATGACAATTTGAACAACGACAGCCAGTCCAACAATACGAGTAACAGCTACAACAACCAACTAAATGGTTGAAAAAAACAAAAACAAAATAACAGAAACATAAAAAAAAATAAACAAAAAAGGAGCGTCGTGCACAAGGCGAAATCGAAAACAATTGAAATCGACGGCAAGGCAAACCAGGCAGGACCTGCCACTGGTGGAGGCACATTAAAATGCGCGACACACACTCTTACAGAGCGCCACACCCACACACACACACACACACACACACAGCACTTAACTGCACTTAGGTGCGACAGCCAGATGAGTGTCGAGCAGCACTGCACGAACGGCATTGTTATGCCCGTCGCACGGAAAGTCATTTTCACTTAAAGTGTAAAAATGCATGATAGCTGCCTGTGACTTGGCCGAGATCTAGATACCCTAGCAGTCAAAGTTTTCTATGTACTTAAAGACAACAATCGCATGCACGTCTACGAGGAGTCTTTTTACCAAGCGATTGGTTTGGATTTTCTGTGATATATTATCCGAAACGGTGCTTATTTGTATTCAAGTTTTGCCTTAAATTTCGCTACAAACAACTTACCAAGATTAGAATACCATCTGCAAGGGTATAAAATCCTGACGAGCATTTTCTGTTTAGGCCACATGGCGTACACGCAACGTTGTCAATGCCCTTTGTCTTTGCCTCTACTTTTGGGTTGGTTTTTGCGGTCTGAACTGAATGGACATTCATAAAATTGCCATTAATGTCACAATTAGCAATCACCATAAATTAAATGCTCCACAACCGTTTAAAATTTATTATTTTAAAGAAAAAATAAACAACATCAAAAAATGTGAAAAACGGTTTGAATAATGCAGAATAAATTCTGCATTAATGCCTATAATTGAATTATGCGATCTGGAATGCAAATTATTCCCCTTCATCATTTCGTTTGTTTGCTTTAATTGGAACTCGACGATTATTATTTTTGTTTTTTAAGTAAGAGTTGCGTGTAAATAAATGAAAAATTACGTAAAATATTTACAATGTTTATATAAAAATGTGTATGCTTTAGTTTCTGACTTTTTTGTTTAAAATCTAAATTTCTAAATGCTAGAAGCCACAAATCCAACGGCCAAATTCAATTTATTATGGCACCAAATGCGTAAATTAGAATTTGCATATTCATTTCTGTCAACATCTATTCCCACTATCCATACGCAATAAGCCAATTTAATGCCTGATTAACTTGGTAAATTGCAGCGCACCCACTGGGTAGTTGTTTTTCCCAGCGATTTCGAGATGTTAAGCGAGAGATGAGGGAGAGAGTGGGGTGGGATTTGGGTTTTTAATTGAAATTTGGTTGCGGTGGCGGTGGCGGTGGCGGGAAGCGGCTAGTTCAAAGTATTGAAACAGTTGATAAATATTTGAGCGCGTATTTTTTGGCATTCACTTGCGCGATTGTGCAAACAAATGTTTATTTATGCGTAACTTTCAGCCAATGCCCGCCAGTCATAATTAGTGATTTATAAATTGCAATTGAATTGCTCTTCAAGTCGAGTGAATTTTCAATCAGAGCACTCGCATTACGATCCCCACACACACACATGATGAACACGTGAAAACTGTAAACAGAGAGCTGCATTTTCCCAATCGATTAATTCTTTTTAGTAGGGGGCGGGGCAGGAGTATTTTCCAGTGAGGCGTGAGGCGCCGTCTGTTTGGAGAGTCTGTAAAGTATTTTTGGAACGCTCTCTCGAAGCAATTAACGTGGCCATTAGGCTGCAGGCGAATGAATCACAAGAATGCCTCTCATCGGCCCGCCTATTAATTAATAAAGTAAAAAGGCCATAAATGTAAAACTCATAACAACAAATGCTGGCCCATAAATATGCACTTAGGTATTTATGCGCATTGACAGCATGAATATTTATGAGGATGGTGGCTGTTAAAATGCGAAACGGCCCCCTATCCCTGCCCCCACCGTGTTGATTAATTGGAAAAGTTGTGTTGCCGGTTCGGTTCAACGGGTAGGACTATGCTTGACGATGATGATGATGATGTTTCCCATTCCCATTCCTATTCCTGTTCCTGTTCCTCGTTCTGTTCCGCATCATATTTTATATGCCTGATTCTGTGGCTTCTGTGTGCCGCCCAAAACTAAGCAAATCCAAGGCCTGTGCAAAGTGAAATTCAAAGAAATGAAGGAATTTACGTACTACGAGTATTTGCCATTAGATAGACCCAGCGACCATCTATACAACAAGTTCAAGAAGTTCTTGGGGCTTGTCTCTCCGAACCCAAAAGGATAACAATGACTGAAATGCTTAAATGAAATTATTTCATTATAAAATAAATAAAGTAAATCCAAAAGAAATTGCAAGTAACTTAACGTATTTCAATATTTAATCTTAAACTTAAACCTAAACTTTTTTGCTAAACTAGACACAAATATTTATAATGATAAATAATGATAAAATAAATAAGTTAAAGCATATACATATATATATATATGAAAGTTGAATTTTTGAACCTAGACACAAGTGAAACTATATAATTAGCATAATTTGTAGTTACCAATAGTTATAGAGACGTTTAATCATTCAACAACATATGCATAGCAACAATTTTAACTCGTATTCTCATATGCTATGAGTCTGTTCCACCTAGTTGTGCGTAGATCAGATCCAATATGAACAAACACACAACAACACCAAAAAAAAAAAAACTCAAAATAGCTAAATTTAAATTTAAATGGAGAGTTGTGAGTAGATGAGTATATCAAAGCCAGCGGCAAATGAGAATCAAATTTCAAGAATCATATGAATGGAAAATAGATATGTATAGTTAAATCAAGGTAAAAAACATGCATAAGTACTTGTTAAACTACATACATTTTAAGCGGAAGTCTTCCACTACAATTACGCTCACTCCACATTTTGCGTTCTCAGAGCCCTCTCATTCAGACCCTTTTTTTCCACATCTGTAACGAGATGGCAGACTATGTAACTAATGTGTATGTATAGTTCAACAATATTAAATAAGTGTGTGTGTGTATTTCAAAAGGTTTCTTCCCATAACAAAATAA